TCCTTCATTTTCTTGTCTTCACTCGTATCTGTCTTCGAGTGGCTTTGGGGAGAGGTAACGTGGTCCTCTTTGGCATTATCATCTACAGGACCACTTCCGTTGTCGTTGTTGACAGGGGGAATAGTTAGGTTGACATTATTCCCTTCCCGCTCATTCTCATCTTGATTCTGATGATTGGGTCGAGTGGGCTCTCCTTGGTGAGTTGTCAGAGCCGCGATCTGCTGATCATGCATCTCTCTCATCTGCTGCATGGCCATCTCCATCTCGAACTTGAAACTTTCTTTCTGCCGAGCTAGGGCGTCTTCAAGCATCTTGTTTACTTGTTCGGCGCTGATCATGAGTACCTCGCGGGGTTGTCCCTCGCTAGATACCGTGTTGTCCGATGCAATTGCAGAGCCGGCATCTGATCCTTTGTCTTCTGACGGTAATCTCGTCCGAACCCTACCATAGGTCCCTCGTGTAATGGTTCCGGACTGCAGATGAGTTAAATACCAGGGCACTAGCGGGATTGACTCGGGATTATCCCCCGTCGATGCCCCTTTGCTGGCCATATTGATGGTGACCTTCGGGAATTCTCCGTCTTTGACTATCCTTCTTCTTCGCTGGAAATGCCTAGGCTTAGTCTCAGACGCTCCGGTGGAAATTCTCTTGAACACCGAAACTCTCCTTGGGGCTTCGGAGCAACAGCATTCTGTTAGCACCGCCTTGATGATGTTGGCACACGGACAGTGAGGCTCCGTGTCTCGTGCGTTTCGCTTCCAAGACTTATTCGCACCCCCAGCTCTATAGTACAACTCATCAGTTTGATAACTGAAGCAACCTATAGAGTGTTGGCACGATTTTCCAGGTATAATATTATCATCATCAGACGAATATGACGCTTTATTAGCGTTCTCAAAAGTCGCTCGTTCCAGTCTACGCTTTTGTGAGCGTAAGAACTTAACGGGCTCTTGAACTTCGACACGCAACCCGATGCGGTCGGCAATAGGGGTTTTCCCTTTATTATTTTCCTGGGGGGAATTAGAACGACCCCCAGTCGGGTTTATCATTTGGGGACCTTTCAACGGACCCAATCGCTCCTTGATAGGTACTTTACATCGATTCCCCGGTAAGGGACCAAGGCGACCTTTCAAAGGAACCCTGGACGTTGAAGGATCCGTGTTCTTACCTGACTCCACCGGAGGTGCGGGGGAAAGGGGAACAAGACCTGGATTTGATGAAGGTTGGGCAACGACATCTTCGGCTCTTGCCTTAGGCGTTGGTTTTGCCTTTAGCATCCATACCTGCTTGAGTCTTGACGGGTTCTTGACCGTCTCTTCTTTCTGCATCTCCTCCGCTTTCTGCAGGAAAGCCCGGGCATGCGCAAGCAGTGCGCGGCGCTTCTTGATTCGCTCTTCGAGGGTTGAGCGAGTCCTCGTGACACGAACCCATTTGTTCGTTTCTGCCTTGGAGGAGGAGTTGGTTACGTGCCGTTGTTGCTCTTGGCGTTGCCTGGATCTGAGATCTTCATTGTAGCGGATCCCGTCCATCGGCTCCAAAGCCTTGGCCATCTGACGAGCAAGGCGTTGACGTCGTCTTTGGAGCGTCCTTTTTGATACAGCTGGAGCACCTTCAGTAGCCATCTTCTTGGCGGAGGAGAAGCCCAGATCTGCGATCTCGACCACGTTGGACGACGCGGGGACATCACGTGGTGCGAGTGCAGCGATGGCAAGGGGCTCTTGGGTCTTTGAGCCGAGGGTCCCGCGAACGTTTCTGGAAGAGGATGCCTTCCTGCGCCTGTTCGGAGAGGCGGATCTGGAGGAGGAGGAAGAGAGGTACTCTTCGAACTTTTGCTGATCGAACTCGTATTCGATCTCTTCATTCACCCGGATCTTGAATGCCGGTTGCGTCACGACGGCGTCGGTAGCGATGCCGTTGGCTCCCACTGTGGTCGCCAGCTTGTTTTTGGAAAAAGTTGCCTTCATCATTGATTTCATTAAACTTCAATCGTTACAAATGAAATTCAAATAACAAAGAAATAAAAATTACAACTTTTCGAAAATAAACACAAGATCTTGTTTTGCGGTCTCTTGCTTGTGTGGGTCTTTGGCCTGTGACGGGGACGTCAATATCCGTGGACTACCTGGCAATCAGATCTGGTCCGGAAAAATCGGACAGAGCTTCGTCGATCCGCGAGAGATCTAAAAACTTCTGATCCAGAAAAATCGGACAGAGCTTTGTCGATCCGCGAGAGATCTAGAAGCTCTGAAGCGTCTATCTCGGCTAAAGCGAGATATTAGCTCTTCTTAGTATTAACACCAAGGGCTAATACTAAGGAACGGACACACGGGTGATGAAGATCTGATAAAGAATTCCCCTGAAGTGCTCGATCACTCTTCACTGCAGCAGGGCTTCGCCTCTTTCTCTCCAAAATTCCAGATCTGCAAAAAGTGAGGCCAAGGGTCACTATTTATAGGCAAGAGGGGTGTAGGGTGTCTAGGAAAAGCCTAGACACCCCTAGGGTGTCTCCACAATTCCGAGACACCTCTGGGGTGTCTCCGAATTTTGGAGACACCTCTGGGGTGTCTCCGAATTCTGGAGACACCTCTGGGGTGTCTCCACATTTTGGAGACACCTCTGGGGTGTCTCCGAATTCTGGAGACACCTCTGGGGTGTCTCTGAAATTCCGAGACGCTCCGTTGAGGTGCATTTGTCTGCTTCCGCCGTAAATTCTTCGTCCGAACTCGGATTTTAGTGATTCGAAGTGCGTTGGAAGCCGGACGAAGAGTTCTATCAGCTCCATTGGTTGGATTGCCTGTGGAATGAACGAGACTCGAAGGGCGTTGTCCTTTTTTTTTTGTGAACATCGCCGGGTTCCCGATTGGCCCGGGTCTTCGTTGTTCCGAAGTCCTATCAGCTCACGTAGTTTGTCGATTCACTTCAATCGTTCATCGACGTCAATTGAACTCCTGTGGATCGGATAGTAACGTTCATCGTCGCTCTTTAACACTGAACCGTTCGTGGAGACCTATAGGCAATTTTCGATGCCTACACTAACATGCCCTCATGTTAATAGAAGAAAAAGATATCTAAAGTTGTAGTGCAACAACATAGCAAGATCTACGCAACAAAACTTGAATGATTTGGCAATGATAATGCCGGGAATAAAGTGCTTTGTTAGCTAAGTTGGCTTCTTGAAGAGTATTCAGCTGATTTATGATGATTAGACTTTCTACATTCTTAGACAAGCAAATTAAAGGAATCATATAACTTGATCCCAGCCAAAGACTCTAATGTTCGAGTCAGTTTTAAAGAGAAAAAGCTCAGTTGAAAGACTTTTACTTAGAAGATCTAGCATGAGCATAATGCAATACGTTATATCTAGGGTTTTTAGAGATGACTTATATATTAAGGTTTACATGAAAGCCACCTTAACTTTTATCCAATCACAACTTGCCTTTATTTATTTATTTTATGTAAACCAATTATTTTATTTGCATGTTCTCATTATCACACTTTTTAGGAAAAATACAAAATTATCAATCCATTAGTCTAACCTAAGAGAAAAATGGAGAGGAGAAGGAAAGGAAGGGAAGAGGGGGAGAGAAGTCGGCGGGGCCTGTGGCAGAAGAGGAGGAGGGAAGGAGGTCGGCAGCGAGAGTGGAGAGAGAGGAGGAAGGGAATGAGGAGGAGAGGAAGGAGGTAAGGAAGGTAAGGATGGAGGACGAGAGAGAGAAAGGGAGGTGGATGGGGAGAAGAGGAGGAAAGGACTTAGGTGTTTGGAGAAACCCTAGAAATGGAGGAGATGATGAAGAAGGTGGAGGAGGATGGAGAGAGAAAGAGAAGAGGAAAGAGAGGAGGTGGAGGGTCAGGGGAAGAGGAAAGAGAGGAGGTGGAGGGTCTGGGGAGGAGCAAAGAAATTATGGTTTGGACAAACTGTAGAGGTGGAGGAGATGGTAGAGGAGGTGGAGGAAGAAGAGGAGATAGAGATGAGAGGGAAGGAATGAGGTGGGGGAGGAAGGGAAGAGGGAGAGAGGAGGGAAGAAAGAAGTTGCGGAGAAAGAAAAGGGTAAAGTGGGTATTTTTTTAATTTTTTTTGGGGCTGAATAGTGGCAAAGATGTGACATTGAGAATATGTAAGCAAACTAAGATGGTTTACATTAAAAAATATAAGATGGAAATACAATTTCGGAATGCTTATGTAAAGACCCCTATAGGAGGGGGGGGGGGGCGTGTTTGGGGGGGGGGTCGGGGGGGGAGAGTTAACTTCCGTATTTGCTACAATGTTACAATATAGAGAGGACATGTAGCGGCCAATGACTATCAAGTATGTTATTCATCACACTTTGGCAAGAGCGGAGATACGCTTGATGATAACCATATCAAGGTGCTAATCGGGCTGATATATGGAAGTTACGAAGAATTTAATTTGAATTGTAGTATGAGGTGGATGCTGATTGAAGACAAATGAGCAAGATGATAGACTTTCTTAACAATTGGACTTTGATCATAGAATTATGCCCTGGCCCTTCACAAAATGACTTATTTAGTGTCCAAATTATAGCCCGCTGGTTTCTCCAACAACATTTAGGATTGCTCTATTAACCTTATTTGCTTTTAGATTTTCCAATACGGTCCAATAAAATTTTCATGTTGAAGGGTTAACTCAATCTTAACCCATCTAGAAATGGTATTTTAAATCTTTGTATTATTTATGTATTTGATAGATTAAATAAAATGTCATTAATAATGTAGAATATTGCCTCCACAACCCTGACCTGAATATGATCCTCCAAGCCTACGTCACCTTTCAAGTCCAAGCATAGACACAACCAATTTTTAACAATATCACAAACCCTTAAGTATGACATCTTCTATATATGAAGATGCTTAAGAGTTAGAAAGACCTACATGCCACGATCTTTTCTTGTCATTAAACTGTAAAATTCTTCATCTAAGTTCACACACAGATTGCAACAAACACAAGAAAAAAGAAAAGTTTGTATTTTAGCAAAACATGATGGAATTCTAATCAGTAGTGTTTCTTTCATAAAAGTAACGTCAGATATTGCTTTCACAAAGGGTCCGTAGGAGATCAATCATAGCACCTCCAAATTTCAAATGAAATCTATTAACATTCGCAACAAAACGAAACCCTTCAAGAAAAAAAAAAAAACCCTGAACAAATATATGAAATCAAGCTAAGTATCCTTCTTACGTCACGCCGCGACCATCAATATTATTATTATTTTTTTACTAACATCGTCTTCTGTCTTCAAACTGGCATTTTTATTTGGTACCGTTACTCCTCAAGCTCTTAAGAAAAGACCCACTTTTTGTAATCTCACGCAACGGCCTATTTGTGAACCTGATGAGATTGTACGCCCATGCTCCTGCTATAGTTCCAGTAATGGGCCCCACTATGTAGACCCAGATCCCTTCGTATCGGTTCATGACAATTGCGGGTCCTAGAGTTCTTGCTGGATTCATCGATGCTCCTGATATCGGCCTGAAACATGCAAGAAAACATGCACAGAGCCAGGGTATCAGATAAATTAGTTCAATAAATAATTCTTTTTGTACTTTATGATTCAATTCAATACCCAGCCAAAAGAACGTTTAGGAGAACCGTAGCTCCTACAGCTAATCCTGCTAGCTCTCCAATCTGTAGTTCATAAAATAAAATTTAGAAGCTCATTCAGTTTTATACAGCGCTACATAAAGTACCTTGCTTAATAGATACTTGAATAACAATATGTAGACTGCTGAAAGGTAAGGGTAAATTTGGAAATCGAAAAAATTGGTAAGGGTAAATTCACAAAAAACCCCTAAGAAGTTCGGTCCGTTTTGGGATAACCCCCAGGTGTCTGGAAATATCACTTAATCCCCAAAACTACTTTTTCATATAGCCCAAAAAGTTTGGGAGTTATCTGAGCATAGATTCAGAAAAGTGCGACTTTGGGGGTTATGAGGTTTCTAAACTTTTTCGGGTTAGACCGAGATGGGTTAAACGTTTTGGGGGCCTTTGTGAAATTTACCCTAAAAGTAATTAGTGTAAGGGCTTACTGCTCGGTTATCTGTTGCAACACCGGAGATCACAAACATGAGGTAGAAGGAGATGATGAACTCGAGGGATAGAGATTGAACATCGGAACCAGTTGGAATTGTTCCAAAGAAGTGCTTCTGATCGCCTCCAAACATCACGCGGAGCGTGAGACTGGCGAGACTAGATCCTACAACCTGAGCTATGATGTATGCTGGTACCTGCGAAATTTTGCCTCATCAAAAATGGGCAACAATATATACAAATGTCCTCATTTTTGTGTGCACTCGTGATGTTTTTCCTTGCGTAAGAACAAGAACATATAAATCCATGATTTTTTTTTGTGGGCACTAAAGATGAAAATAGTGTGCATATATAGGTAGTTCTGGACTTTTATGAAACTGATCGATCGATTAAATTTCAGTGTTTTTCTCGTGCCATTCTTGAGAAACGAAATGGATACTATTCTGAGTCTTGGTAGCAATTACCCGCCTAATTTAACTTTCTGGAATAGGTTGACAATGATTCTCATATACTCGTGTACATCACAGCATTTTGTTTTTCTTTTTCAGCCACAAATTTACACGTGTGGGTCACAGAAATATTCTTCAGTCGGATGTAAAAACTTGAATATCAGAAAACTATCCTTTTAGACAATTAAAGAGAATGCCAACAAGGAATAAACCGAAGACCCCAGAGGGGGGGAAAAAGTACATATCAGCATTCACAGAGGAGTTGATGAGTTGATTATGGGTGATTCCCACTATCAATTACCAATACAAATTAGCCCAAGTTATCCCAATCCTTTGATTCAGTTAACTTTATGTTTCACAAACTAATGCGACAATTCAGTAGGAATTCTACAGAAAAAAAAAATCAAGTGCTCTCTATACAATGAGTGCAATTAACACAAGACTCGTATTAAAAGAATACTAGGCTTATCCAGGCCAATGAATCAAATAATATAAGTATTAAGAATTAACTCGATGATGTTTTATAATTTGTTATCACTCACCTGTTTCCATGGAAATCTTCGACACGAGGCGAAAGCAAGGGTAACAGCAGGGTTGAAGTGAGCACCAGAGATATGACCAACAGAATACACCATTACCATAACAACCAACCCCCATACTATGCAAATGCCTGGAAACGTGACTGATCCCTTGATAATATTAACAACCACAGAAGCACACCCCGCGAATATCACGAAATATGTCCCAAGAACTTCAGCAATAAGCTACGCATATTAAAAAAAAAAGGAAAAAAGAAAAAGAAAAAGTTTTGTAAGTCTCATAAAATCACCACACTTGAATTAACAAATCGTTCAATTCTGCGGTCGGTTAGCGCTCAAATAGCCCAACAACCAAAAAATTTTAAGTTTGGTAGTTGAGAGGATGATGTTTTTTTTTTTTATGGACAGAACAAATTGTTGGCCTAATCCCATCAAGAAAAGATGTACTTATTAAGGTGTTAATTGTAGGAAGATGCAGCTGTTGATGTTGTATTGAATTGCCCTACGACTTAAAGTTTCTACTAGAAATTTGATCAGACACACGAGCAGGGTGTTTTGAATCATCCACAGGGGCAGTCTGGAAATTTAAGCTCGTACTCTCTATGCAAACAAGTCAACAGCTTTTGGTAGAATCTACTTCATCTATGGGACTATAGAAAGAGGACTAGATGAATAAAATGAGGTAATCACCTCCAATTGCTGTTGATGATGTTTATGAGGAGGAATGGAAAAACTAGTCCAAACTTTCCTCACCAACCATGGACTTTTTTTTTAATCATAGAAAACACTCTAATTCCTGTAGTTTAGCAACAGATCCCAAACTTCACAAGAGAAAGCCAAACCCCCAAAGAAAAAGAAAAAGAAAAAAGAAGAAGATAAAATCAAACTTAATTCCGTGCAAAAAGCAATTAGAAAAGAATTATCCCACCTTCTGCAAGAAATGGACAGAGAGCTCAGAGGTACATCCTCTGCTCTCAGAGTTCTCGTATCCGTTACCAGCACCAGCACCCTCCTCCACTGATCTCTCACTCACTCCATCACTCCCCGAGTTCTCCCCCTTCAAACCCATCAAGCCCTTTTCTCTCTCCCTCTCTCTCTATAGAAATTGGATAGGCAAGAAGACACTTTGGGCTTGAGGAGCCTGTGTATATATCAATAGCCAAAGACCCAAAAGAGCAGGAGGAGGAGAAGACCCAGCTAAAATTCTGTGCCTTTATGCCTGTACTTTGCTTGTTTTGGCACTCTCTCTGACCCTTGACTACATTATTTTGTGCATTATTATTCTTGGAATTGTTGGTTAAATTTGGAGAGAAGAAAATTAATGAGAAGGGTTTTTCAGGTGGGGAAATGGTTGGAAGGGGCGATGGGATACATTTAATTTTGTGCAGTATGGAAGGCTGCTCCAACACCCAACCTATGTATTTATATAGAAGTATTTTATATTGACTTAATAGTATATACAAATTAAAGAATTTTATATCTAGCCGAAGTTGAAATTTTATTCTGTAAGGGGGTTAGTCATCTAAAACTTAAAACTAGAACTGAGATAATTTGTGGGATAAATTTTTAAGGTATTAGTCACATAGAACTAGAAAATGGGATATTTTTTATAGTGTTAGTGAAGTAGAATTTTTGTAGAACTAGAACTGTATTATTTTTTTGGTGCGTTAGTCAAGTAGAATTCTACTAGAATTAGAATTGGGATAATTGGTCATAATTATCCCACAAATTATACTACCTATATATATAACCATAGATTCTCCTCTATCAAATTATCCCACATATTGGAAAGAATACAATTGGGAAAAAAAAGTGAAACGCCACCTCCCTCCCTCTTGGTTAGTTTCTCCGCCTAGAAAATTTCTCTGCCATGAAGTCAATCATCCGTTCATTTTTCTGTCTTTACTTTGTTTTTGTGATGATTAGATTTTTTATTATTATCTTCAAGATGCATTACTTTATTGATATCTTTTTGACGTTAAATTACTTTATTATTATTTGTTTGATCTAAGTTTTCTCACCACAACAGTGGTTTAGGTTAAGAATATAGTGTTGGTGGGTTAGTGCTAAAGATATGTGGGCTATTTATGTTTTTTTTATAAGTTAGAAAGCAACTTTGCGATCACATTGATGATTAAATGTTGAATGGTTAATGGTGATATCTATTATTATTAAATCGGCTTAGTAAATTGATTGGGATATTTATAGTTCATTTGTCGATCATCTGTTAAGCGGCCATGGATGATTCATGCGTACATTTCATTTATTTGCTGATTTGGTTTCAGCGATCATGATGAGATTGGTCTAAAGGGTTAATGACTGAAAAATGCTTATTTTTCTTTCTTTATGATGTTATGAGATTTGAACTTCGACATTTATGATCCTCCACTAGAAGCTCCATGAAATGTTGCTGATGCAGACGATGACTCCGATAAAGAAGACGAGTTACAAACTCAATGATCAGCTGTAGGAGCTTGGAGAAATTCTATGGCAGATGCCATGTGGGATGATAGAAGTCATGTGGAATGATGGAAGTCGAGTCACTCCAGGATTTAGATTTTTATTTATTTGTAAATTATTTTATTATTTGAGATGAATAGTGATGTTTTATTGCATTATATTTTATAGTTATTACTAGAATTTCCTTATCAATATTATATTATTTTTAATATACAATTATTAACAATAGTATTTTATACCCACCATTACCCTCACAAAATTATCCTACCAAATTATGCAACTTCATAATATTATCTATCGTTATCCCACCAAATTATCCTACCAAATTACCACACTTTAAGAATTACCCATCATTATTCCACTAAATTATCCCAGTGTCAAAAAATTATCTCACTTTACCAATTATCCCAGTTCTACTTAAAAAGTTCTAGGTGAATAGTAACTTTTTAGAATTCTATTTGGGATAACAATGTTTCTATAAAGGAATTAACTTGAAAATTTATTGATAATGGGTACTACAAACATTTATCAAGGAAATAAAAATGTCCAATATATTTTGGAAAAAATTTACAAAATAAGGTCTAAGTTTTGACAAAGCACAAAGGATAAGATGAAGCATTCAATGAATACGGTCTAATGTACACATGCTATATCAATGGATAAGGTCTTAGGAATTAGTGCACAATAGGGAGGAATTGAAAAATTCCCTAAGGACCCAAAATATGGGACCAATAGAGGGGACAAGTGAGGTGTCCCCCTCCTATTGGATAATGAGTTGGCTATCATTAATGATGGCCAACTCATTATCCAATAGGAGGGGGACACCTCACTTGTCCCCTCTATTGGTCCCATATTTTGGGTCCCTGTAGCAAAGCTCGGAGGAATTTGAAACATTAATGCCTCAATGACCCAAATAGGGGACCCAAGGCATGTGACACGTAAGGTGTCACCATCCGGTTGCATGATGCATTATTCATGAATAGTGCATCATGCAACCGGATAGTGGCATATCAATTAACTTGAAAATTTATTGATAATGGGTACTACAAACATTTATCAAGGAAATAAAAATGTCCAATATATTTTGGAAAAAATTTACAAAATAAGGTCTAAGTTTTGACAAAGCACAAAGGATAAGATGAAGCATTCAATGAATACGGTCTAATGTACACATGCTATATCAATGGATAAGGTCTTAGGAATTAGTGCACAATAGGGAGGAATTGAAAAATTCCCTAAGGACCCAAAATATGGGACCAATAGAGGGGACAAGTGAGGTGTCCCCCTCCTATTGGATAATGAGTTGGCTATCATTAATGATGGCCAACTCATTATCCAATAGGAGGGGGACACCTCACTTGTCCCCTCTATTGGTCCCATATTTTGGGTCCCTGTAGCAAAGCTCGGAGGAATTTGAAACATTAATGCCTCAATGACCCAAATAGGGGACCCAAGGCATGTGACACGTAAGGTGTCACCATCCGGTTGCATGATGCATTATTCATGAATAGTGCATCATGCAACCGGATAGTGGCATATCACATGTCCCATGCATTAAGGTCCCATGTTTGGGTCCCTGTAGCAACACCTACCTGTCAACCACTACTTTTACTCTCTTAAATAAACAATGAATCCGCTCTATTGGAAAGTTTTATTCATCGGTAAGTAGACCAAGAAGAAATTTGAAATCATACTTGGGTGTTGAATCTTTGCATCATATCAAAATTTTGAATTATTCTACCCGCATTTAAACAAATTGGCGGTAGAAGATGATAGATGGAAATATGGCTCAATCCACCATAAATGCCCATAAAAGCACCGCAATGGGCATGGTCAATTGGTCATGCGATAGGGCAACTTAAGGTTTGATGAGATTGAAATATTGTAGAAAAGATGTGATAATGTAGATCCCCTTATCAATGTGAATTTGCTTTCATGGTTTTCCAAAATTTTCTTTTAGTTACCAATTATTTTATCAACTACCCTTTTGGTCAGTTGAGAATGTTAATGTGCTCCAAACCCAAGAAGATGAATCTGCGATTGTGACTTTCTGTGTTCCAATTATCCATTCAAAAACACCAATTTATTCTTATTAGAGAGGGGGAAAAAAAGGGTTTTCCAATAAATTATAGAAGCATATTGTAGGTTGTTATATCAGAATGAATAGACATACCAACTGATATTAATTAATTTCTTTTGTGAGGAGTAATCTCGATAATATGGATCAGAAAGAAAATCTCTCAGCTCTTTGTTTTCATGGATTCGTTAATTTGAAGGAGGAATACCATTTTTGCTCAATTAGTCAAAGATGAGGTTACCCTAAATGCCAAAGTTAATACAATGATTTCCTTAGCTGTGCATTATCCAAATGGGGTAAGATGACCGAGTCAAAAAGAGAAGGGCACACCGAAAATTGAACACTACGGAGTCACACCTGAATGCATCCAATAAATTTCCTTGGCCTTATCTACACACTCCTCACCATTTAATTTCTCGTCAAAAAAAATATACGCATTTGATGTCATCATGCAATTCTACAATCCCTTATACAATATAATTAATTTTTACGTTTGATGTCCTCACAAGGATTTTCGTTAGTCGTCAAGGTATTGGTCCCATTAAAAAATAACTAATAATATTGGAATTTGTTGGATACTTGTTAATCAGGACAAAGATGGAGATGAAGAAGATGGGAACCTATTGCATCTAACTAATCTTCTCTCTTCTCCCAAATCTCCCAAAATCCTATTGACATGGACAAAAATATGTGAGGGTGAAGAGATTAGCAACCTAAAAACATTACATCTTCTTTTTGATTTCTTCTTTTGTCTAATTAATTGAGTTGAAAACACAATAATTCTTTTTCCTTTTTTTATTATTTTTTATGTAATACTCTAATTTTGTCACGTGGGGATTGACCGGAAATTACCTGATTTTTTTTTTGCTTTTGAAGGTATCATTAAACTACAAAATCGACGTGGATGAGTCACATTATCAACGTACGCAAGGGGTCAAACTTATTGCTATTTTGCTATTTTATTCCACGTCCTTCCACATTACTCCACGGGATAGTTGACAAATCTTATTGAATTTGCCCACATTTCTGGAGCGCTAATTCGACTATACGGTCACTCCACAAGTACGCGTAGGATAAATTAAGACAAACTTAAGCTTTATAGCTTTGGCGTTAGTGTTAAAATTGTTTTTTGTTTTCTAGAAGAATGAACGAAGTCGCAAGTCACGAGTAGTCCGATGTACCACACGCTTTACGATGATATTGTTAGATATAGGTGCCCTCCAGACAATTATTGTATATTGTAACAGGACCTATATGTATATAACATCCTTGTTCAAAATGATAGTATGCTATTTTGGTCAGATTTATCTGATGTTCTAAATATACAGATAATGTCCTTAGAATAAATATTAGACTATCAGACATTTCAGATAGTGATCGTAATGAAGAGATCTGATTAGTCGGTAACGTATATTCTAAAATGTTTCTAGTTGATGAAGTGTTGAGATAGGACATCATCACTTTGGTTTAGACTAGTGTATGCTTTATTTCTCCTTTTGAAGGAGATGATCAATCTCTTAGATCATTGATGTGAGACATCAAGATACAGTATACAGGTGACTCATTAGTGAATGAGTTGACTGAACGACTCGCCGAGAACATCTAGTTGGTAATATACTTAACTGTCAAATAGAAGTTCTCAAGTGATATAGTACATAGTAGTCTCTTGACATGAGGCATGAGTGCAATATCTTATATGTCAGTAAAGATGTATTTAGACTTTTACCTAACCACAGTTCTTATTGAATTGTGCATAACGGTTCTTGTTAGGTACATCCCGAGACATAAGTAGATATTGAGATGCCAAGAAGAGATTCGTCTCTCCCAGTATAGGGGTTGATGTCATAAGATTGTTTGATATAACTATAGCCTTGAAATCCTTGGCCAAGGTGAATAAGATAAACTGAGTGTCAGTTTGATCTTATAGGTTATGAGTTTAATATCAATAAACACTAATCAAGCTATTAGGGTTTGACAGTTTGCCATACCCTAGGCTCAATAGTTTGACATGGTTTGACGAAGAGACCGGACTGTACGGTATTATCATTGAGTGGTCCTGATAAAATTGGATAAGCATCTTGCAGACCTTTATCACAACTTATACCCGGGTGGTCTTCATGTGTAGCTAGCACCTCTGTTGTACTTATGGATATGATCCACTACCGAGTTTTTTAAGTTGGGCCCTAGAGTCACACCAAGCGCGTACTTGAATCCTATGAAACACAATTTATGGAGTGATGCGTATGATTGATACGCATATATGATTTCTTCCGGATACACATAAACGGTTATGTATATCGGTAAAATCGGAATGCTATGTGCTTAGGAAATGAATTCCAGTATTTTTCCCATAAAGTTAACTTTTAGTCAACTAGTTGACTTTTTGGTCAACAGTTGACTTTTGGTCAACTCTTGATTTATTTGGTCATATAGTGACTAATTAGTTAAAGATTGGAATAATACTATATACCGTATTTATGAAATACTGTATTAGTGATAATAATTTGGTATTCTCATTTATGAAATACACATACCATGTATAATGAGTCATAAGATGAGTCACTTAGTGGTATGGTTTGAGCACATAGTTTATTAGCACATGGTTTGAAAATGTAATGATTCATAAGATGATTCATTGCATGACTCACTTGATTAATCATTAATTTTTTATGATTCATTGCATGACTCATAGGATGAGTCATTCATATCATGAACACATTTCACTCTATAAATATGAGCTCTTTTTCTTATGGAAAGGTTAATGAAAAATTGGCTAAGTGTTTTTTTCCATAAGAGAATAAAAGAGAGCTCTCCTCTTACTAAACTTTAGCAATCTTTGAGCAAGAGGAAGTAGTAGGATTTTAAGAACCCCGGGGTGGATATCTTGCCTTGTGTCTTAAGAAGACTCCCATTTTATCAAGCTCACTTGAAGACTTGGAGATCCACTACAAGGAGATTTTCTACTACAAGGAGCAAGAGCTAGGGGTTATTCAATCTTCCATCGAATCACGCTACGAAAGTATGGCTTTCTAACTCTTGTATGCTCACTTAATAATAAGGATCATGTTAGATTTAATTAGACGATCCATATGAATATTTCATGCTCTCTACATGCTTAGTATTTTTGTATATACATGTCTTCCGCTGTGTATTATGCATGTAGACATAGCACGATTTCCTTCAGATATGTATGGTCAAATATCCTCTATGCTAGATATGTGTGTCGATATGAATTTTAAAGTTGGTGATTGTATAGATAGTCTGTTTTGATTGCATTATGCTGTATTAGTAGTATAATTTACAAGAATTCTGATTGCACTGATATTATGTATTAGTCATATTTATTTAGAGTGATAAAAAGATATGGCGTGTTTTCCTCTCCTTCGGTATAATTTTTCTAAAGTATTTTATATATTAGGATAAATATCAGAAAACCCCCCTAACCGTGGACTATTATTGGACCAACCCTCACCCCTACCCCACAAACAAAAGCAAAAACACACTTTGAAAATATCAGAAAATTCCCCTTCAAGGATTATCACAACCCGGCCCGCCCCACCCCCAAAAAAACAAACCAAAATCAACTTCTAGATTTTAGTAGAAAATCACTTATAGCTTTCATATTTTATCACAAAACACTTCTAAATATCAGGAGTTTTCTAATAAAATCTCAAAGCTAAAGGGTGTTTTCTGATAACCCTTAACTTTAAGGGGGTCTCTGATATTTTGAAAGTTAAGATGGGTTTTCTAATAATCATCCAAAGTTTCTCATTTTTCTTTACTTGAGTGTATGATCAGCGTGTCAACATGCACATCATGTGAATTAGCTGGACTATCACAAAAAACAATTTAAGATGGCTGAAAATAACTTCAATGCTCAGAGATCATGAGGCCTTTATTTAGCAAGAAGCAAAGATTTGGCAAGAGTAATCAACTTCTACGAAGAGTGCAAGAGGCACGAATTATAAATCCCACTTATGTCAGAAAATATTCTGTTTTCTAAAAAAAAAAGATCACGAGATCAAACTTCGTTGTCAAAATATTTTATTGTTATGCATTATCTATTAGCATTATTAGTATGAACAATTGTATTTCCACGTTTCACTGTTTAATTTCATGTGAAGCAGGTTTATATTATATGAAGGTAAAATCAAATTGCATTAATGATGAGGCGGTATTTTCTACGTGTCTCATTCCTTTTAACATGCAGGGAGATCCCGTTATTTTATTTTTCTTTTTCCCCCCTGAACATCGATCACTTTCTATTTGTCCTGTTTAGTTCATTGACATAACTACTGTAAAAATTTGAGAATTGTAAGGATGTAGTTTGAAGAAATCAAGTTTAAGGAATAAAATCTATAAACACTTAATCAAGTTTAAGGAATAATAATCAAGTTTAAGGAAATTGTTATGATATGTTCTTGTGCCTTTGTAGGCGTAGCACTTATCAACCCTTAATTACTTTGTTTGCATTTTAAAACCTCTAGATTTGTACAGCAAAAAAAGTTTAGATACACCCATTTTCTCTCCGTCTTATGAATTTAGGAGTGTTTAAGTATTAATAAAATAAAATAGTTGAGGGCGTTATCTGTAATTAGTCCAGAAAAACAGAGAAATTGCCTTAGCCCACTAAAGATCCAGGTCATTCTGATTCCCAAATGGGCTCAGGCCATTTATTTACAGCCTACAAAACCGCCAAATCAATTTGGACCATCTTAATCCTAACAGCCTCAACAAATCCAACCCAATTATCTCACTGTCGAAACCGCCAGCTCACCTCTAACGTCAATATTCCCAAAAATACCCCACGCAAAACGACAAAACCCGTTCCCGACCGTTGCCCCCAACGACCATTCAAACTCTTAGCCCCCTCATCACCGTCCATTCTTCCCTCCGCCCAAACAAATCCCAACCGTCCAACCTCCATTCAAATCTCAAAATCCCCCCTCCTCCATCCCTCACGATCCCAAAAAAAATGGTCTCCAAAATCACCAAAAGATCCCAGAAAACCCCCGCAAAGTCCCCTCTTTGCCGGCGGACCCCGCCGCCGNTCCCCCTCCTCATCGACCCCCGAATCCCTCGGGTTCACCCGAATCAAACCCGTCGACGCGGCCCAAAACCCGCTCCCTCCCTCCTTCTCCCCTTCGAAAATGACCCTCTTCCTCGACCTCGACGAGACCCTGGTCCACTCGAAGACTGACCCGGCACCTATTAACTACGACTTCGTCGTCTTCCCCAGAATCGACGGCCAAATCGTCCCCTTCTACGTGCTCAAAAGACCCGGAGTCGACCAATTCCTGAAAATGGCGGCGACGAAATTCGAAATCGTTGTATTCACCGCTGGATTGGAGGAGTATGCTTCGCGGGTTCTCGATCTATTGGACCCGAAAGGGGAGGTGATAGCGCACCGGCTGTATCGGGATTCGTGCAGGCAGATCGGGGGGAAGTATGTGAAGGACTTATCGGATCTTGGGAGGGATCTGGGTCGGGTTGCGATCGTGGACGATAACCCGATGAGCTTCTCGTTGCAGCCGGAGAATGCGGTGAGGGTGAAGCCCTTCGTGAGTGATCCTGAGGATGAGGAGTTGAAGAGAGTTATGGAGTTTTTGGATGTTGCAGTCAAGTTTGAGGATGTGAGGGATGCTGTTAAGTTTTTTGTGGGGGGCGTGGTGGGGGAGCCTGTGGGTTGATCTAACAACTCAGAGATGATGCATTCAGGTGCTTCACTGAATGAATGTGGGGTTTATAGAGACTGGAGATTTGGGATTGGGATTGGATTATTTGTTGTTGTTGTTGTTGTTGTTTGTATTGTGGAACAAGACTCGATTGAGGAATTGGATATATTTGATTTGATATGAATGAAATTACTCAAGAGTTACTCTGGGAAAATTGATTGTTTCTTCTCTATAGTGTTCCATCTTGGTTTTTTGACCTTGTTACTTTCAACTGGGGTAAGATATTCACATAACCTCTCTAAGGATTGACTCATTTGGAGATAACCCCTCTAAACTTTATAAATGTCACTTAGTCCTGAACACGGGGGTTTATCAGCAAAACTCTTAAATATTTGCAATTTGTTAAACATAACCCCTAATGGCAATATTGAGGGTTCTCTGGAACTTGATCAAAAGTGCATGGGTTCTCTAAAAATAAATGTTGAAAAATTGAGGAGTTCCACCCCCACCCCACAACACACACACACAAAAAAAAAACCCCACCCCACAGACAAACAAAGGGGAAAAAAATCTATAGATATTATTAATAGTCTTAATTGCACTTAAATCCTAATAGTTTCTGAAGGAGCTACGATGCAAGACTGGGGGGAGGGGGTGGAAGGTTTAATAGGATTGCTATAATTTTTCGACTAACTTAGAAAAGTAGCGAAAATATAATAAGCGAAAAACTAAAAGCAAACCAACACAAGAACACACAAGATTTTTATAGTGCTTCAGATCAAAATCATACTCCTACTTTTCTTTCTCTCGAAGGGCGTTCCTCGCTACAGCTAGAGTTCACTTGAATCACAACCTAATTCAGTGGGCTTCAATGACTGCATCGTGGAATCTACCCAAAACCAGTCATCTAACTTAACTCTTTACAATGATCACAAGAAATCTAGTCCTAACTAGCCACACCTTCAATTGATCTGGCTTGAGTACGTCAACCCTCAATTACCCCCGCTTGAGTATGCCGACAAACTTATAAGTTGAAACACAAAAACTACTCAGAATAATTCAAAGCACAACTAAAAAAATATTGCAGCCCTTTTAACAAATCGCCCTTCAAACCGATGACGATGAAGATATGTGAAGAAGCGATGTTGCAGTTGAATGCAAAGGACACTTCTCCTCATTGAAATAATCCTTTGATGATAAGTGCGATGAAAAGAAGTTGAACGAGGCTATAAGGGTTAAATTCTCAAATCAAACTCTCTCACCAACCCTAGAATAAGATCTCTCTTTTTATGCAATTGTCTCTCCTTCTCTCTTCTTGTTCTTCTTCTCTTCCTCAATTCCCCTTAAAATAGATCTTGATAGCATAGAAAAGAGATACCCTACTTAGAGTCCAAATAGGAGATCAAATCAATCATCGAACATCTAAAATTAAAACTTAAAATCTTCCAAAACTCGTCGTAACCATCGATGGTGAGTCGTGATCACCGATGGCCCATTGATGATCATCGATAGTTGACTATAGTCCATCGATTGTGTAAATTATAATTTTTGGATTTCTGTAACTATTAACTGTATGTAGTCCATTAATGGTCCATGCGATCATCGATGGTCGACTGTAGACCATTGATAGTTCAAAATCTGATTTCTATTTCTCTAATTCTTTCCTTAGTCTATTGATGACTTGACTTGACGCAGCGCGGAAGTAGTAGCCTAGGAATCCACCAAGAAAAATCTTCGAATCCACGAAGAAATATTGAGGAAAAACAAAATTTTATTAATCAAAAGTTATTTTTTTGGGGGTTACATGACTCTTCTTAAATAGATAAAACAAATAAGACTCCTACCAAAACTAGAATTACAAAAATAGAAAGTATCAAGTTCTATCCTAAAAAAGACTCCCTATAATAGAGGAAACAAATCATGAATCAAAATTGATTTTATTTCTTAATCTAATTTGACTCTAAAATTAAATTTATTTCCTAATCTAAAAGACTACAACTTTATTACTAAAAATAGACTAAAGGCTGATTATTTTCGGATTTCAGTCAAATCTGGGTATAACTAATGAAATTATAAAAATCTGACAATATGGTTGGATCCGTCTCGTCGAGATAGGTGATTTATGTTGGACCCTAGAGGGGGGGTGATAGGGTCTTAAGGAAATAATTGTGTAATAAAAATTGAGACAAGCAATACACCACAAAATGAACAACTAAAGTAAATGAGGTAGAGTTAGAAATCGTTATCCAAGTGACGCGCGATGTGTTAACGAGGTTCGGTCCGCTGACCTACGTCCCCGCTCCCCACTCTCGAGGAGAATCCACTACACAACACGGTTTGGAAGCTGAAACTTCTTCTACATAACGATCTCCACAAGATCTCACTACCACACAGTTGATCACCATAAGATCTCACTACCACACAGTTGATCTCCACAAGATCAAGCTTACAACAGTAGTAAATGGTGTAAAATCTTTCTCTTTACAATAACCCTATGGCAAGGAGAAAGATCACACTTGAAGATGGGGATGTGAACTTGAAAACAGAGAAAAACAGGATTGAAAGTTTGGCTCTTTTGAAAACAGTAAAACAAAACTCAGGTTTTTCAAAATGCTTGGGATAGCTAAAGAAGAAGGGTATGAGGGGTTTAAATAGGAGAAAACACAGCTGCCAAAATAATGCGGCATAATTATGTACCAAAATTGTAAGTGCACAATTGATCAAGTTATAGTATAAAAAATTATCGATCCCACGAGGAAGGTGATTTTAAGAGATTATTAGAATTGGTTCTTATGTTTTGTGGAGGAAGGTGATTTTAAGAGATTATTAGAATTGGTTCTTATGTTTTGTGCGTGACAAAATAGGATTAAATAATAAGTGTGATTGTGGAGAGATATATGATGAGTGGTTGTTTTGATTTATATACAAGTAACAATAAATTGAATTTTAGAGAAAAGAAATAAGAATCAAAAAGAATAAATGAAATCATAAGGCAAGAAAGAAGAATGAATAAAATCAAGGAATAAAATCAAGAATGAAAAGAAAAATTAAAGAAAGTCAAGATGGAGGATTCAATTAAGATATGAGAAATCTAGAATTTAATCCACTAACTAATCTCAAATATAAAATACAAACTATTCTCTTTTTATCATATTTCAACTTAGATTTATTAAGCATAGACTATCAAACCATTTAAGGAAAGTATAACCTATCAAATTATCATCTAAATCAAAATTACTATTCATGATAAGAACAACAACAAGATAGTAATCCTAGAATTCATAAGCATAACCTATCAAATCATTTAAGATAAGCATAGATTATCAAATTCTTCTTCTACCGATTAGTTTTCTAGTTGATTATCCTAATGTAACGCCCCACCCCGAAATCCCGGAGTCGGTACGCTACTAGATCTGATGGACTGGCCTCACAAACCACCACATGTCTTTTCAGCACGTTTTGTCCTCACTCACGCGCTCCCTGGTAAACTTCTCAGGGGGTCACCCATCCTAGAATTTTTCCAGGCCAAACACGCTTAACTTTGGAGTTTCTAAGAGTTAAGTTTCCGAAAAGAAGATGCATCTTGGTGGTATGAGTATTCCAATCAAATCTATCAATACTAATCACATCACCCTCTCAAGGGTTAGGGTATTACAATCTCCCCCACTTAAACTCGCAACGTCCTCGTTGCGCCAAATCATATCATCCAAGACCGTACCATCCATGTGAGATTCTAGAGGTGGCTCCTACGACCTCAAGAGGTGGCTCCCGCCCTCTCGACGTAGCACTTTGCGCCGCATAGCACTTAGCTCTCACAATTCCGGTTGGCTTTGCTCTGATACCATTTGTAACGCCCCACCCCGGAATCCCGGAGTCGGTACGCTACTAGATCTGATGAACTGGCCTTACAAACCATCACATGTCTTTTCAGCACGTTTTGTCCTCACTCACGCGCTCCCTGGTAAACTTCTCAGGGGGTCACCCATCCTAGAATTTCTCCAGGCCAAACACGCTTAACTTTGGAGTTTCTAAGAGTTGGGTTTCCGAAAAGAAGATGCATCTTGGTGGTATGAGTATTCCAATCAAATCTATCAATACTAATCACATTACCCTCTCAAGGGTTAGGGTATTACACCTAAACATGAACATTTTAAGTGAAAGAGAATAATTTGCATAATATAAAAGAAATTAGACTAGCATCATACAATTCTAATATTCCTACAAGAATTAATTTCACATCTTAAGAAATAAAAACAAGAAGAAAAAGAACTAATTACAAAATTAAAAAGAAAATAAAAATCTAAACTATGAACAAGAAATAAATCTAACTACAAAGAATTAAAATCTAAACTACAAAATATATTACAAAAATTAAATACAAGAAAATAAATCTACTCTACAAATTAAAGTGCAAAAAGAAATAAAAAGACAAGAAAATAAATCTACACTACAAGCATGAATTTAAATCTAACTAATAAGCAATAATAAAAAAATTACCAAAAAGAAATAAAAGAGAAAAGAAATGCAAACCTTCAAATTGCTCTTCATCTCCATCCTCATCATTCAACAAAGAGGAGAAAGAATAAATTTAAAGTGAAGAAAAATTATTTTTATTAATTGCAACTAAAGTTACAATTTTTGGAAGGCCTTCTCAATTAAGAGTAGCTATCCTCTCCAAATAGAGTTATAAAATTTTTCACACCCTTAACCCCTCACTCTCTACCCCTATTTATAGTAATCATCAATGAATATAAGCCATTAAATTTATCTTGAGCCCCAAGCAAAGCAATCTCCACCTTTGAATTTGTTAGTGAAGAAATGGGTTGGAATTTGCTTTTTGTTCTTCTCTAGCCCAACATAGGAGGCCCATATGATTTTCAAATACAAATGAAAATCAAGTTGCAGCAAGTCAGCAGGTCCGGTCATGGAGTTCTGCAGCAATCAAGTCCAATGGAGCTTCATTTGATTTTCAAAACAGAAAATGAAATCTGCAGCAAGTCCGGCCCAAGTGGAGCTTCATTTGATTTTCAAAAAGAAAATGAAAAAGCAAGTCCGGCCCATTCATGAAAGTAAGATCCAAGTCTGTAGCAGTCCAGTCTTCATTCACGTGATTTTCAAAATCAATTCAAGTCTGGTCATCATTCATGTGATTCTCAAAATCAATTCTCTGCAGCTAAGTCCGGTCATCATTCATGGGTGTAATCATTTTTTTGATGGGCTTTGGGC